AACCCCTAGCTCCCCCCTTACTACACCACTTGTCAACTTCTACCGGGGGTTCAACCCATAGCCCCCCCTCGCTGCACCACTTGTAAACTTCTACCGGGGGTTCAACCCATAACTCCCCCCCCTTGCTTAACCATGCTTTATTATTCTTTTTTTGCGAAGTGATGAACCCCTTCCCTTAGCTTTTTCTGTAAAATGCCATTTTTATCAGAGGTTTAAACCTCCCTCAAATTTAATGTTTTAACCCCCCCACCCTTCATTCTCCACTCAATGTCATTTTCCGTATGGGACATAACCCCATCTTTCTATCCCACTTCACTTGATCTATTTTTTACCATTTGACAATAACTATCTATCAGCTATCTATCTATCTTTTATTATCATTATTAAAAATATGTTCTTTATATACAGTGGGGAGAAAGAGAGAGAGAGAGAGAGGATTTACTTACTTAAAGCAGTAGACTCTTAATTAATGTAGAAAAAGCGACCAATAAATATTTATAACCCTTTCAGATCCCTGGTATACCCTGGTATACCTAGAAGATCTAAAATGCTTTAATTACCTGGAACCTGAAGATTGAAGAGTCTTTAAAACAATCTGGTGGAAAATACAAAATAAATATTTGTCCAACGTTTTAGTTCTAAAATGACAGATATGTACAATGTACAATGTATGTAAAGGGATGGGTACATAATTAAACAGCCAAATAGATATACAGACAGATTGACAGGCATACTGGAAAATGAATAGATAGATCGATAGATCAAAATAAAATAAAGATAGATAAATAGATAGACAAATAGATAGTTAGATAGATAGATATATAGATAGATAGACAGATAGATAGATAGATAGATAGATAAATAGATAGATAGATAGATAGATAGATAAATATATAGATAGATAGATAGATAGATAGATAGATAGATAGGCAGTAGTGAGTTGTCATTTCCAGGCATTCTGTTCCACCGTGACAAATCATGAAAAATTGGTCCTTCTACGGTTTGTTGGTAGAACATGGTTTATATATATACAGGGTGTACCATTGGTAGACTATGGTATAAGTACAGGGTGTACCATTGGTAGACTATGGTATAAGTACAGGGTGTACCATTGGTAGACTATGGTATAAGTACAGGGTGAACCAGAATAAAATAATTGGACAAGTCAAACTGATTGATTAGATGTTTGTTTCCATGTCTCGTCAAAATTTACATTATGGTTTGTGGAAAATATTGTACAGGGTGTCTAACAATAAATAGTGACCAATATACAGGGTGTTCCAGAATAGGATATTTTATGAACCATGTTGAGCCGGTAGATTTAAAACAAAAAATCTCTGTTGTGTATTAAATGAACCCCCTGGTAAGTGAACCCCTTAACTTTGAAGTAACTTTAACTGATTTTATTGAAGAGTGTAGATTGAAGTAGATAATATTTAAACACTGTCGTAAAATTCCATTCATTTGCTAGTTGATCAGGCAGCTATCAGGCAGCTCTATACAATTTTATCGTGGAATTGATGGCCTGAAAGATTAAGTATTAGTATGTTCAGCTTTTCAGGTTTAAGAAGCGTGAACTCCGGGTTCTGTTGGATACAGGGCGGAGTCTGGCGCTGATCCTTGCTACCTCGCCTCCTCTAATTGGTTCTCCGATCCTTCTCCAGGTCCTGTCCGGGGACCAGGGCAGCGGAGCTAGCGGAACCCAGGTTCTAATGAGCGGAACATAGCCCAGTCTTCCGCCGGTCCACTCCACTGTGACACAGAATTATTGCATGTGCGTAAAATCAAAGTTTAATGCTTTAGTTTGCAGAAAAGAAGCCTAAAAATTGGACAGAAGAGCCGGGCTCAAGCGTAGAGGAGCGTGTAGTGAGTTAATCATTAACGGATATATTTGTGAATAATCCTGATTACAGGGAACATGATGCACCCTATACCCTTCACGGGTTATCCTTTTCAAGGTATATTCATCTATTATACAATACTTAGTTAAGTTTACGCTTTTACAATATCGATTTGGGAACTTTGGTTTCTCTTCTTTCTCAGATTTTCTTCGGAATTGTGTCTAATATGTTTGATTACCTACTTTAAGTTACAAGAAGTCTTTATTCCTAAGAAATTCTTAAAACCTGATGACTTCTGAAATATTACCAAATAATTCTAATTTAGCATGGCAAATTTTTTTTTGGTTTGCTACAGAGACAATAGTTTATTTGAGGGAAAAATGTGAAAAATTTTATTTAGTTTTAGTAAGTACATGCATTTCATTTTTTATCTTTTTTATTTTCTTTGTATCTCTCCTAATTTTGGTTTGTATCTTTTATCTAATCAGCTTGGCATCTCGCTAAAACCTTCAAGACATTTCACTAACATATGCTTGGGATTGATATCTCATCAAAATCTGCATAATATTTATATCTAACATTCACTTGATGTTCCTCTCAATCTGCTTGACATACCAGTAATATCTGCTTGATATGTATTTTAAATCTGCTTGATATATCTCCGTAATATCTGCTTGATATGTATCTTAAATCTGTATGATATATCTCAGTAATATCCTTAATGTCTCTTCAAAATCTATTTTATATTTCTTTAAATATTTCTCTAAAATCTGATAAATATCTAATTAAAATTTGCAAAGTATATCTCTCCTACTTTTCTAGATATATCTTTTAAATCTGCTAAATCTTCTTGGTAGATCTCCTAAAATGAGAAAGAATTAAGAAATTCTTAATTCCTCTTTTATATCCCGTGTTGGTCATACCCTGCAGGGATAAATTAAATTTAGGTATCCACAATTATAATCAGATTAAAAGTTCCAACAGTGGATATCGAGATCAAGCGTTTAAGTTTTACGATACTCCACCAACCTATGAAATCACTCCAACACTTTCCTGACCACGCGTTTCTGAATGATAAAAGAGGGTTCAGCTTTAGTTTCGTCACTCTTTAGGTTCTAAAAATCATTACATTTTGTAAAAACATGTAAATGAAATTCTTCTCAAAACGAACAGATTTTCGCTGATAGATTTATTTTATGATATCTCTTGATTTCTCCTAAATATCCTTATTTTACCTTTGATAACTCACTAAAACATGCTTGATTACTTTTCGGAAATTATTTTGTATCTAAATCTCAAATCGTCTAGATGTTTCTCATAACTCTACTTGATGTATCTCTTAAACTTGCAAGATATACCCCTCAAATCTGCTTATTTTTTCTTTAAAATCTGCTTTAAAATCTCTCTTCAATATCTCACTTCAACCTGTTTGATTATATGTTATTCATATTTTTATACATTATCATTATATCTATTAATAAAACAAGACATTCGTATATATGTTCCCTATGGCCGGCGAAACGGCTGGACCGAATGGGCTGAATTATTTTTGTGGACACTCATGGGTAGCCTGGGGGTGACATAGGACCAAAAAAAATTTCTTCAAATTTAAAAAAAATCCACAGGCAACGCCGGGCCCTTTAGCAAGTATTATTTATATTTATATCTTATTATTTTGTTTCATTGATATATCTCTCAAACTCTAAGTATTTCTTTCTCTGATGTAGATTTTTATTAAATCTGTCACTGTTTTATTTTCTTTTTTTTTAAAACAATTTAAAATTTAATGCTGATGGTGGAACAACCCTCATAGAGATAATAAAGTAGATGTTAGTTCCACATTTTATAAAAAATATATTTCGGTCAGGGTTTTTCTATGTCTTCTTTATATTTACCTAAATACTTTTAATATCAATATAAAACTCAAGGATGGGCTCCTTTACGATATCTTTAGCTTTTTACTCTTCAACCTTTTCTTTAATATACTTATACTTGATTTTAAAAAGATGTTTAAATTAGATTAATGCGCTTTACGCGTACGACTTAGAAAATATGCTTGAAACTTATTTGATAGTTTTGCCACTATTTTAACCAAAATATGCTTGGAACTTATTTCATAGTTTTGCCTCTATTCTAACCAAAATATACTTAAAACCTATTTGATAGTTTTGCCTCTATTCTAACCAAAATATACTTAAAACTTATTTGATAGTTTTGCCTTTATTCTAACCAAAATATCTAAATAAAATGTATCTTGTTAAACGGAAAGTTAAAGTTTACCTTTTTTTTAAAGGTTATGAAGCAATAACTCCATATTTAACTAAGATAAACTGTTTATCGAACTTGGCAAGTAAGGAGGGATTGTAAACTTCACAAATCCGTATAATCTCATCCCAACTCAACCCAACCCAAATAATTCATAGCATCTCATCCCAACCCAACCCCAACAATTCATAGCATCTCATCCCAACTCAACCCAAAACCCACAATCCAAATAATTTCATTCTATCGGAACCCACATGGAAAACAATTATTTCATCCTATCCCGACCCAGCTAACGATTCGTACCATCTCATTCAAACCCATCCAAAGCCCTATCAATGCGATCCCAACCAAAAAATAAAATCCCACCCCAACCAAACATTCTCAATCCGTGTCATCTCTTCCAAGCCCAACCCCCAAAATCTGCATTATTTCATCACCACTCAACCCATCCCGGATCCTTATCATCTCATCCCAACCCATCCAGATCCCATTCTGTACAATCTAAACCCAATCCCGCAACCATATAATCCTATCCCATCCAACCCCAGCAATCCATATAATCTCATCCCAACCCAACCCTCCTAATCCGTATCATCCCAACCCATTCCCCCACAATCTATATATACTATGTCATCCCAACCCAGCCCTTACAATCCTACATTCATCTCCAAAAGTGAAATATAGTTTTTAAAATGGCTAAAAAATGAATGGATTGGCGGCAGCCTTTCACATCCTAGATCTTGAAGGAAAACTGAATTCTCTTTTACAGTGTTTTAGAGACCGGGAAATCTGCAAATTAAGAATTTTCTCCTTTTTTCTTCAAATATATGGGCTTTTACAGCAATAACCCGGTAGAGGGGGAGGGGAGGAGAGGGGGAGGGAAGACTCAAGAGTAAAGGGGGAAATTAAGGGAGGACGGGGGAAGGGGAATTACTTTGAACAAAATATAAGGTGATCGGGGAATATAATTTAATCCGTAAATTCTGAACAAAAGACAGCAGATTTTAATCTTTGAGTTTTTTTTAAACTGTGAATAGGTCAATTTTTGCAATGTTACATGAGCTACGTAAAAATATTTATTTCGTGCTGATTATAGAAATGAAAAAAATATGAACATTTATTTACTTGATTTGCACTAAACTGGCAACGTAGACTATATATGTTAATCAAGATTCAAGAATTATAGAATTTAGTTGGAGATGTTTTTCTTAAACAGAACAAAATAAGTTTAACACTTCTTCGAGCAAAACAGCTGAAAATTCAAATGAAAAAATGAATAAAAATAATACAAATACTTGTTATTCTTCAATAGTTTGCATGGTGCATGATGTTACTGTGTTTGTATTCATTAAACGTTTACATAATGGACACTATAAAGATGGCTTGACTTAAATACATGTAACTTGACATATGCCAACGCTAAGCTATTTTGTCAAAGCAGTGTATTATGGAGACCTTCAAGAGGTTGTAAATATAATCTTTTTCTACCAAAACTTATTTAAAGGAGCCGAGAAAATGGCCAGACGTACATCTGTATTTCACATTGTGTCAGTCTGTCAGTCCCTCTCATAAAGTTGTGTGTGCGGCATTCAGGCCATAAAGCGCGTGTTGGCCGCGCGCGGGTTTTTGAAGATAAATATGGCGTGGCGGCAGAATGCCGCCATGAATTGGTGACAACTACCGGTACATTGTGTCACCGCATACAGTAGAGGGGGCAGCAGGGGGTTTATGAGGCTGCTAATAAGTTTTTTGGTGACAATGTTTTATTTTGTAAAGAAGAAAAACAGTTTGGTAAAATCCTTTCATTTTCTCGCCTTTCTTACCTTACTTCAAAGAAGGTTTTCACAATATAATCTTGAAAAGTTGCCCTGAAAGGGCTGTGTGAATGCAATAGATCTAACAAGGGTATAACTAAATTAATTTTCATGTCATTTATGAAAGGTATCAATTTTCAGCGTGAACTATCATCTATTAGCAAACTGCATGATAAAACTGTTGGCCTATAGTTTATCTATTTAAAAAAAACAAGACTAAATATTTCCTCGACACTAAGATGAAAAAAGTATTATTTTTAAATTACCAAAATAAATCTGAGATCTCAAAAAAGATCTGAATAATCAAAATAAATCTAATATACCAGAAAAAGAATTGTCATGCCAAAAGAGTAAAACATTTAATTTTTAGGCCAGGGCCGTGTCAATCAGCTTGGAGGCGTATTTATTAATGGAAGACCTCTTCCAAACCATATAAGGTAATAGTCTTTTTTTTATGTTCCCTGTTCTTACATATGTTAGTTCATTATGGCTTATTTAAAAATAATAAAATTGATAAATTTAACTATTCAGGTTGAAGATTATAGAGATGGCGGCTGCAGGGATCCGTCCTTGTGTTATAAGTCGTCAGCTTAGGGTCAGTCATGGATGTGTGAGCAAAATATTAAACAGGTATTCACTCTTGAATATTATATAGAACCTTATCTCCAGATCAACCGAAATATTAAACATGTATTCATTCTTGAATATTATATAGAACCTTGTCTCCAGATCAACCAAAATATTAAACATTTATTCATTCTTGAATATTATATAGAACCTTGTCTCCAGATCAACCAAAATATTAAACAGGTATTCATTCTTAAATAGTATATAGAACCTTGTCTCCAGATCAACCAAAGTATCAAACAGGTATTCATTCTTGAATATTATATAGATCCTTGTCTCCAGATCAACCAAGATATTGATAAAAAACTTTGTCAACCCACTAAGATAAACTAGTCTGGGATAAAGATACTTGTATCTAGGTACCTGGATATCTATACTAACTTTGTATGTATTAGGTACCTGGATATCTAAACTAACGTTGTATGTATTAGGTACCTGGATATCTATACTAACGTTGTATGTATTAGGTACCTGGATATCTTTAATAACCTTGTGTGTATCTAGGTACCTGGATATCTATACTAAATTTTTATGTATAAGGTACCTGGATATCTTTACTAACCTTGTATGTATTTAGATACCTGGATATCTATACTAACCTTGTATGTATCTAGGTACCTGGATATCTATACTAACCTTGTATGTATCTAGGTACCTGGATATCTATACTAACCTTGTATGTATCTAGGTACCTGGGTATCGATACTAACCTTGTGTGAATATAGGTACCTGGATATCTATACTAACCTTGTATGTATCTAGGTACCTTGGTATCTATACTAACCTTGTGTGAATCTAGGTACCTGGATATCTTTACTAATCTTGTTTGTAACTAGGTACCAGGAGACTGGGAGTATCCGTCCTGGAGTCCTTGGTGGGAGTAAACCTAAACTTGCAACTCCTGAGATAGAACTTAAGATAGAGAATTATAAGAAGGAGAATCCAGGAGTATTTAGTTGGGAGATTAGAGATAGGTATAAAATTTTATTTTTTTGGTTGCCGTAAGGCACAATTTTTATTTTCTTGATCCAAGGATATTTCCTCCAACAAATGCAGTAAACTTTTTGCTTTTCTTAATCAAGCCTTAAATTTGTATACAAACATTTGTTTTCAGGCATGCGAAAATAAATCAAGATTAAATATATGACTTTCAAAATCATTAAAGGAACTGAGTTTTTGCCACAAACTTAGGTTTTCTAACCTCTATATCTTTGCAACCAAATGTCACAGATCTTTGGTATTTTAAACTATAAATTATGTTAGACTAAAACAACTAATTTTGAAATATTAAACATTTACACCATCAGATTGCATAGATATAAGACAATTTGAGTTTGTGGCATAAACTAAGTTCCTTTTCCATATAAATTTTAACATTTAAAAAGTATTTAACAACAAAAAATAAAAATTCAAAAATCTACGTTTACTTGGTGAAAGCAAGGATTTAATGCAAGGAAAGTTATTTAAGAGATGTACGCATCTTTTGTACTGCAGTTTACTGTCACTGGGCGGTAATGTAAACACAAGACGGATGTTGAAGCCTGACATGGGATCCATCTTTCACATAAATAATCAATGAAATATTCTGGTCTATAGGAAACTATTCAGAAATTATCAAAATTATCAAAATTTAATGCTTTTAACCTCCTCGGATACTAAACGAACACCGAGGCATCTATTCTTGTTTACAAATTCCGCCCAGAGAGAACTGGTTTCAATATGTACGCAGAGTATACGCAACTGCAATTAACTTTCCTTGCATTACATTCTTGGGTGAAAGAGACTATTAATGATGTTCATCTAAATCACCGTGTACAATACACGATGCACATTGCACATGAAAAACATTGAACTTGACCTTTAGTTTTTATTACATAATTGAGAGAACTAATTTAAATGGTCACATTTAGATATCAAAGACGGATTTTCCCTAAATTAAATCTCAAAAAGTTCAAGGTTTAAATTTATCGTTTTTTATTTGTTTTGAAACTCCTCGGTTTCAGTTTACTGAAATATTGAATAATAATTTACTGTCATATTTTCATTTTCTTCTAAGAGATCCTTATCATCTCATCCC